TCCCCCATAACGTCATTGCCCCTATATGATGGCAAACCCAGAATCTTCTTTGCTAGCTTTGTTTAAGTACTCCTGAATCACTCTTGAATATGTACTTTTGATATTCAATTGGCATTTCAAATCAGGCAAACTGATTGTTACCCTTCCTACCTTCCTTACCCCTCCTTCCCTCCTTCCCTTCTGCTGCATACTCCCCCTCCCCCCTCCACACACACATAAACTACTTTTTCTTACATGTCTTGCTTGGTTCCAGACACATAAACTAAAAACCTAAGAGGTATTTACTATTTTTTCATCATCTCCCACAAATAACTGGCTATCAAGCTCTAAAAATTTGCCTTCGAAATATATCTTAAGTCAGTCTGCTTTCCAGATCCTCAATTACTGTCTTAGCTGAGGCCTTTAAACCACTTTCTGGACAACAGCTGCCCAACTAGCTTTCCTATCTCTAATTTCTTCTTTCATCTGCTACTTTCTTAGAATAGTTTTTTGAAAGACCAAATATAGTCATATCACTCCCTTAAATAAAATACATGGTTTATAGCAGAAATTATAAGTTGCATAAGGGAGGGAAGAGTCAGAGGCTAGATAGAGAAGAGCTTGGTATGTCAGACTGAGGAACATGAACTTTATCCTATAGGTGAGCCATTGAGGAGTTTTGTTAATTGTAGTTGTACAACCTGTTTGTTCTACCTGAAAGTCCCTCTTTCTGAATCTGTCCTATTACTCCCCATTCAGTGATATGATGGAACTGGGATCTTACTAGCTAGGGATAACCGATTATTAAATATTCAGGAGTTTTGTAAACCAGTTTTAAGTTTGAAAGCAGCTATGATTAGGGTATTAATGGACATCAGCAAATATGGCAAAATCTGGACTCTTCCCCCGATCCCCAAACTCCCTTGAAAGCTGATCCCAGCACACCACTACCCCTATCCAACTGGCAGCTTTGCTTCAAATTTTGACTTAGATAGTTTCTATTTAAAAACTTTCCTGCCAAGTTCTCTTGCCTCCACACACATAAAATTGATTGCTACTTCTAAAGTCCTTTACATGCTTTATTATATAGCATTTGTCATCTTATAGGATAATTCTGCTGTACAAGACACATTGGTGCCTGGAGGAACAAAACCCCCTGTTCAGGGTAATGGGGAAATCTCTACAGAACAGGTAAGACTTAAAAGATGAACAAAAATTTTTTGCCTTGTAAAAACGTGCTACAATTAGTATTTTTATAGATAGAACTAGAGGCCCGGAGCACAAAATTCATGCACTGGGTGTGGGGGGGCGTGTCACTCAGCCCAGCCTGAGCCCTCTCACAGTACAAGGAGCCCTCAGGGGATGTCCAACTGCCGCGGAGGTGGGAGAGGCTCTCGCCAGCGTGAGCCTGGCTTCTGGCTGAGTGGCGCTTCCCCCTGTGGGAGTGCACTGACCACAAGGGGGCAGCTCCTGCGTTGAGCATCTGCCCCCTGGGGGTCAGTGTGCATCATAGCGACCAGTCATTCTGCCGTTCGATTGATTTGCATATTAGCCTTTTATTATATAGGATTTTTAACAGGAATTTTTTTCACCCTGGACAGCTGACTTGCACAGATTCTTTGTTTCAGAATAAATAACACTTGTATAAAGTCTATAAATTAAGCATTCTTTGGATGAGTAGAGAAAGCACTTAACACATTTCGTACCGCTCAGGAGTTTTCTCGTGTTTCGTGTGCCATCTGTTAAGGACCGCCCACGAGTGTTCTTGTTTTTCACGCCCATGGAAAAAGGAACGAATCTAGATACTTATGTAAATTTTGTTTGGTCCTTCTTCATAGAGGAAAATGTTTTACGCAGTACCATACGTTAAAAAAGTACTAGGAACTTTAATTGTTTAATTGTTTTTGTAAATAAAAATGTTATAATTATTGAAAAACAACACCTAAAGTGCATTATGATGATTTAAATAACGTGCAGTTTGCCCAAAAACGTGCGGTCCCTGGCATATGTCTTAGAGATTTCTATGCGGTATGCAATGTGTTAATATAGCACATCATTGAAAAACATCATTTTGTTCAACATTAGTAATGATGTTGGTGAGAGATGCTGTAGGAACTTAACTCTTGTTTATATCAATTAGCCAATGGTAAAATAGCATTATATATTCTTTTGTGAAGTCACAGAACCTATCAACGATGTTAAGTCCAGACTTACTGTATTGTATCTGTTATCACAATAATGTTGTCCAGCTATATAGTGAAGTTGAAGATCTCTTGAGACCCTGTCAACTCCAGTATACTGACATGTTCTTTGGGTCTCTGATGTTGTGGTAGATCTTCACTTCAGTAACACTGTAAGTTTGATCTAGTCTAGGGTAAAATGAGTGGTGAGGGTGCTGTTATAGGAAGGCACATTGGGTATAATATTGGTGGCAGAATGTCAAAAGAGGCTCCATTTAATAATATATTTATTACATACCAATAATTATAAACTCTCAGTTACTTCCTGTTTTTGCCACCAGATGGCGATCAGACATTTGAAGGGCAATTGACTAAGAACTCAAGATTGGCTATCTTAAGAAATGAGGAAAGCCTGGCTGGCATGGCTCAGTGATTGAGAGTCGACCTATGAACCAGGAGGTCACAGTTCGATTCCCAGGTTGTGGGCTCAATCCCCAGTGGGGGGCATGTAGGAGGCAACCGATCAATGATTCTCTCTCTTCATTGATGTTTCTATCTCTCCCTCTCCCTTTCTCTTTGAAATCAATAAAAATATATAATAAAAGAAATGAGGAAATATAAGTTAATGCTGTGACTCATTATGTGTATATCTTAAGCCCTGTCAAACTAATCAGCAGTAATTAAACAGTGAAAAGTGGAGTTATCTATGGTTTAGTTACTTAAGAAATAATTTATACCTAAATACAGTTACTTAAGATTAGAAACCTTTTATCACAAAAGGTGACATGATTAGAGTCTATGTAATCATGATGAGTGTAAAGTAATCAAGAGAAGGGTTGAAGGCCCATTCTTTTAAACATTAAAATTGGTAAAGAGAGAGATATAAAAACAGTATTAACACTGAGGAAATATAAATGTTTTTGGTTCAACAAATTAGAGTAAATCTATTTGTGAAGGGTCTATCAATAGACATTAAGAGAAATGAAAGATACTTAGGGAATATTTCTGAACTCTGAATATGATGTCAAGGGAGACGGCTATGCCCTTCTTCTAAATCAGGGGTCAGCAAACTTTTTCTGTAAAGAGCCATACAGCAAATACTTGAAGCTTGCAGGCCGTAAGGTTTCTTTCTACCCAATTCTACCATCTTGGTGTGGGTAAAATCTAGGGTCTATAAATGTTTTCCTTTCTAGGCCTGTCTCTGGCATCTGTCAAATAAGGAGTTAGATTAGATCATCTCTGACATTTTTCAGATTGTGTGTCCTTTTGTACATCTCTCAAGCAAAGTGATCCCACAGGCTGACCCAGAGTGATATTTCTTTTATTTGTAAAGTCAAATGGGAAGGGGCAGCCAATCAATGTTTCTCTTTCTTCCTCTCTCTAAAAAGTCAATAAAAACATCTTTTTAACATATATTTTTATTTATTTCAGAGAGGAAAGGACAGGGAGAGAGAGATAGAAACATCAATGATGAAAGAGAGTCATTGGTTGGCTGCCTTCTGCACACCCCTTCTGGGGATGAAGCTCGCAACCCTGGCATATGCCCTGACTGGAAATCAAACCACAACCTCCTGGTTCATAAGTCGATGCTCAACTGCTGAGCCACACCGGCCGGGCTTGAAGCTAGGTTTTAAATATCAGTAAAGCTGGTTCTTTAACAAGTCCAGGTCACATGGCTGGCTTGTGATTTAGCTGAACTTAAAAGCCCAAATCATCTCTATTCAACAATAGGGTGCACTTGATTTCCGTTTACCTTTTATTTATGCCCATATCATTTCTTTTAAGAATTCATCCTTTTCCAATTGTGAGTGATAATAATCATAGTGGACAAGCCCTGAATATCCAAATGGACATGTATAGGAATATTTTGTTTTTGTCTTTCTTCACTTCTTCTTTTCCTTACAATAACTTTAACACAGTGTGATAGTATCTAAGAGTAATCTAAGAGCTCTGTAAACACTAATTTGAGTCTCAGGCTCTGCTTTTGACTTGCTCTGTGACTTTGAGCAGTTTATCCCCTGCTGAGAAAACCAGTCCTTCATCTGTAAAATGATAGATTCCCATCTGTCCACGGGATGGCTATGTAAGAAACACCTTCGAAGCCTTGTTTAAATTTTTGTGCTTTACTCCTGAATCTGTTTCTTTGTCTAGGACAGGGGTCCTCAAACTACGGCCCGCGGGCCACATGCAAATACAAATATTGTATTTGTTCCCGTTTTGTTTTTTTAGTTCAAAATAAGATATGTGCAGTGTGCATAGGAATTTGTTCATAGTTTTTTTTTTTAAACTATAGTCTGGCCCTCCAACGGTCTGAGGGACAGTGAACTGGCCCCCTGTTTAAAAAGTTTGAGGACCCCTGGTCTAGGATAAGGCCTAGGAAGCTCAGGTGATACTAGTGCATGGCCAAGTTTGATAACAATTAAAGATGACCTCTAAGGTTCTGGCAACTCTAAAATGCAGTGGTTACATGAAATATGTCTATTTCCCTAGAGGTCGTTTATTATATATCATTTTCTGGAACTTCTATATATTTCTGCAAGAAATAATTGAGATTAATATATTGTAGTTTCCCCCACATACACACATTGGTATAGCTTTACATAAACTTGGTTTGCCATAACATGGTCAGTTTATGGCTCAGGTGACAATCTTGATCCCTAATGTGTATTAGAAGATGGTTTCCCTTTTCACCAGAATGCCATCGTATAGCTTTTTTGTTTTCAGTCTTGGATTTAGAAAGAATTAAATGTTTGTGCTATCCTGATTTCCATATAACCATAAAGTGAAATAAAATTAGAAATTCAGTGTGGTTGTTAATTTCTGTTTGTTTTTAATTTACAGAATGCTCTTTTCAGTTGCATTAGCAGAAATGAAAGTAAGTATGTTATTGACGGTTATACCAACAGTCCAAAGAGCAAAGCACAGTTTACAGATTATGATTTAGCTGTTATAAACACTGCCAAGACCCTGCATTATAACTTAGGCTCTTAGTAAACCATCTGAAGGACTGTGCCCCGCAGGATTCTGATAGGCACCTTCCTCCGGAGTGCTTAGGCGTTCGTTCCCATGTCCTGTACTAGTGCTAGATGTATTAGAGGAAGGTCATGTATTTACCCCATTTGAGTAGTTAGGATCACTTTCAGAAGTTAAGCACTCCCACATGACACAATGCTGCACTTGCTGAGGGCTGCCACTCAGTTCAGTTCAGCGGACTTTCACTACGTGCTGTGTGTGGAGCAAATACACATCTATAGGGGCAAAACCATGTGATAAATGTAGCCATTAATAATTGTTCTTTGTGATGCAAATGAACAATGCATCAGTGAACACAGTAAATTTGGTAGTAATTACAAGTCGAAAACTTATGTGGCACAATAGGTATGAAACAGTGTCCTTGCCCAGGGACTTGAGGCCTGTCCTGCATTAGTTCAGTCCTAGTTTAATTAATTTATATATGCTCTTATCACTACCATTATTATTTCTGGAAGTTGCCTGCACAGTCACCAGAAATCTGATTCTGGTTCCTCCATAACCATCTCTAATAATTATCAGAGATTTCCTACCTGCCTTTCTCTTACCCTTTTCCTGCCATACCTCTATCATGTCTTCCTTCAGCTTCCCACAGATTGCTTAGCCTCTCTATGAATATTCCTTGCTCTTTCCATTATAAATTCCACATTTGCCCTACCCAGTCACTCATCTAGCTCTTCCCAGATACTTTAAATGGTCCTCTTGATTTTTAAAAATACATAAATCCAGAGTCAAATGTGGGTTTTACTTTTCAAAATTGAAAAGGTTATATCAGTTGTAAAGTGAAGACTATTTTAACTTAGGCATATTCTTGCAGATGTTCAAACATTGTAGAACTTTGGCGCTTTTGTTTCAAAATATACAATTATATAATAGTCAAACTTATGAAATGATCCTGATATCTCTTAGTTTTTTCAAAATATATTTTTTAATGATTTTAGAGAGGAATGGAGAGGGAGAGAGAGATAGAAACATCAATGATGAGAGAGAATCGTTGATCGGCTGCCTCTTGCATACCCCCTACTGGGGTTGGAGCCTGTAATCAGTCCATGTACCCCGTAATCAGGCCATGTACCCTGTCAGGGAATTGGACTGTGACCTTCTGGTTTATAGGTCGACGCTCAGCCACTGAGCCACACCAGCTGGGCTATCTCTTAGTTTTTAATGGTCCTATTTTATAAATGTGAGACATTTGGGGTTTTGTTTTATTTTGTTTTGTTTTGCTTTGCTTTGCTTATAAATCTCCACAAATCTAATGTGGAAAGCTTTTCTAGTAGTTCTCACCATGGGCACTATTGGCATTTTGGGAAACATTAGCTGTGTGAGACTGCCCTATATGTTGCAGAACATTTACTAGTCCTGACCCCCATGCACTAAATTGCATTAATGTTCCCCACGTCACGAAAACCAGAAACATTAACATATGCATTCACATTCTTCCAGGGGGATGGTATTACTGCTGCTGAAAGCCATTGGACTATAAGTTGACCAATAGTGACTTTATTATACTGGTCAGCACCTGAATGTCCTAATGGCTCTGCCTACATTAGTGCTGATTTTAAGTACTTGTCTTCTGTGGCATGGTTTTATTTCCAAAATAAAACGACACTTGTTCTGTCATGATGATGATTTATTGTTAGCAAATAGCTGATCCATTTCAATGTCCTCTCCTTTTTCCCCCTCAGTGGGCTCAGTATGTTGCAGCTATGCAGGCCATCACACAAACTGCCGAGAATACTGTCAAGCCATTTTTCGAACAGACTCTTCTCCTGGCCCATCTCAGATCAAAGCAGTGGAAAATTACTGTGCCTCTATTAGTCCACAATTAATACACTGTGTGAACAATTATACCCAGTCTTACCCAATGAGGAACCCAACAGATAGTAAGTAAAAGGGACATATTTCTCTCATTTCAATCTTTGGTAAAATAACATAAAATAGAAGCAAAATTTTGTAGATATCTGCAGTCTGGGGCATTTGGGAGATACCAGACTTCCTTTGGTGTTTAGATTTTACAGATTGGACATTACTGTCACAGCTAAAATATGCCAGAACAACAGAGCTGGCAAGGGTATGAAGAAACAGGCACTCTATTCTGAGGTGGGAGAATTGGTTAGTACAGATTTGAGGCTACAACCATGAGAATTTCAAATAATTATACCTTTTAATCTAGCAATTCCATTTATCAGACTTTGTCCTTCAACAACACTTACAGATAGGCAAAATTTTATCTACACATATAAAGGATATTTGCTACAATATTGGTGATAATAGAGAAAAATTAGAAAAAACCTAAACATCCATCAATAGGTTATTGATTAAAAGTGATAACTAGATAACTAAATCATATAGCTATATAATAACAACAACTATCTACTTACATAGAAAGAAGTTCAATATATAATAAAGTTGAAGAACTAAATGTATAGTATGATACATTTTTAGTATATAACTATTTGTTCCATATTATATGTATCTGTAATGTTTGGATTTTTACTAATAAACAGTCATTACTTTTTATTATAGAAACATCATTAAATGAGATGAGATCTTGCTATTTTTTAAAATGTCAGCTTGTATATCCTATAATCAATTTTTTCAGGTTATCAAAGTTTAAAAAGCTGACTAATTAACCAACTGACAAAAAACTGATAGGATTTATAAGCCAGATGCCATTGTTTTGATTTATACTGGAATATTGAAAGACTTGTTTTTCAATAATGGTGAGTTCTGGTAATAGATACCTAGTCTATAGGTATACCTGGTAAATAGCTTTATTTACTATACTGCAAAGTAATGGAGAGAGAATTTGGTGGGCCCTGTATACTGCAGATATTGATATATGACTCAGAGAAGTAATGGTTTCCAGTATAGCACCATGTTCTTTTTTTCTGAGTAGTACATGACATAAAACCAGCTAATTAAGCTACTTGTATCCTGAAAATGTAGGTTTATATTGCTGTGACAGAGCTGAAGACCATGCTTGCCAAAGTGCCTGCAAGAGAATTCTAATGTCTAAGAAAACGGAAATGGAGATTGTCGATGGCCTCATTGAGGGTTGTAAGACCCAGCCCTTGCCTCAGGATCCTCTGTGGCAGTGTTTTCTTGAAAGCTCACAGTCTGTTCACCCTGGAGTCACTCTGCACCCTCCTCCCTCTACAGGCCTTGATGGGGCTAAATTACACTGTTGTTCTAAAGCAAACACTTCAACATGTAGGTCAGTATCTCGTTTTCCTTTATTAAAACCAGTAGAAAATAGCACTTTAACTAATGATTTTTAAGTCTAACAAATATCTGTTACACTCTTGCATTGTGTAGACGAGTTTAGAAGATATAAAATTTTTCATTCTTTTATCCAGCAAATATTTATTGAGTATCATATATACAGTAACCCCCCCCTCCCCCCATTTGCAGTTTCGCTTCTCATGGTTTCAAGTTACCCTGGATCAACCATGGTCAGAAAATATTAAATGGAAAATTCCAGAAATAAATAATTCATGTTTTAAATTGCATGCTGTTCTGAGTAGTGTGATGATATCTCCCACCATCCACCCTTATGAAGTTTTGGAATTCATAAGCCTTTACATAGAGAATGTCTTAACCCCTTCCCCGGCAGAAACGTGTATACACGTTTTCACAAAATGTTCTTTTTCAGTCGTCGACGAGTATACTAAGAAAATATGGTAAAAAAATATGGTTTATAGGAAGACGAATTACAAACTGTTTTCATAACCAGCATCAAAAATACTATATAGAACCAAAATAAAAAAATTAGTCTGAAAAAGAAACGTTTTTAACAAAAAAATTGTTGGGGAAGGGGTTAATATATCTTCAGAAATATAAGTGGTTTGGGGATAGTTTTTCAGGGAGAAACTGGTGAACCCTAAATCTGTAGTGCTTATTAAAAGATGTCTGAGGACCATGTAAGTTTGCATTCTGTGATTGGAACATAAATATAGTGAAGTATGTGTTTGTGGAGGCAAAATTGTATGCTTTAACTTTACATAAAGGTAAAAGAGAAATCAGAAATTTGGAGGGCAAGAATTTTGCCAAGAATGAGGATGTACAAATACTATAAATTAAACGTTAAATTTAGCACTGAGCTTTCTAGCAACTATAGCAAAAAGGAAAGAGATGGGTGATAAAAGGCTAATTCTTTCATTAAAAAGATCACTTTTTCTGGCTCTAAATTCTAGGAGATAGATCTTGGTCTTTTGGTTTTTGTATTTTCTTTTCACATATTCTAAAATGCAATTCATAGAGTTTGAATTTTATGCAAATCAAATATTTATTCATTTGGCTTACCTATATGTTTCTGCATTTGTGCTTTCAGGGAACTGTGCACTAAACTTTATAGTATGAGCTGGGGCAATACACAGAGTTGGCAAGAGTTCGATCGCTTTTGTGAATATAATCCAGTGGAAGTGTCCATGTTGACCTGCTTAGCAGATGTTCGGGAACCTTGCCAGTTGGGCTGTAGAAACCTTACTTACTGTACTAATTTTAACAACAGGTAGGAGCAAATTACTGTACATGGAATGGAAGTATTTTGTCCTTGGTTTTCTTGTTTTTAAATAAGTGGAAAGACCACTATATTTTGATTTTGTTAAGTTAAAAGGCAGTAGTCTTTCTTTATGATTTCATCTTTCAATGCTATACTCCATGTGGTAAATCCTCTCTGGGAACGGAAGCACTGTAACAGAGTTCCTTCTAATCTAGGAGGATTTCCTGATTAGAATTTTACCCATCGCTTCTCTCTATAAAGTAATTGCCTCTTGATTCCATCTGGCCTTTTTTTCTCTTCAGGCCAACAGAGCTTTTCAGGAGTTGTAATGCTCAGTCAGATCAAGGAGCCATGAATGACATGAAGCTATGGGAAAAAGGAAGCATAAAGATGCCATTTATCAACATACCTGTTCTTGACATTAAAAAGTGCCAGCCAGAAATGTGGAAAGCAATAGCTTGTTCACTGCAGATTAAACCTTGTCATAGTAAATCCCGGGGGAGTATTATTTGCAAGTAAGTTTCTTTCATCATAAAGACTCTCCAGTCTAGGTGCAGACCCTCCGTGATCTTCACCCATAGCCTGTTGGAGTTTTCTCTCCCACCGCTTCCCTCTGCCCATCACCCCCACAGGTCACAGGCTTTGCCACTTTTCTTCCTCTGCTTGAAATTTCTTCCTACATCTCCATTTGCCCACAGCCTGTCCTTCCTAACCCCTCAAATACCTGTCTTTCCCATGGATTCTTCCCACTTTTCTCCAGCTGGTAGTTAATCCTTACTACAGATTTCTTATTTTTACTAATCTTAAGGAACTTGATTCAGCAAACATTTATTGAGTATCTTCAATGCACAATTCTATTTTTATATTTCAATTGTGTACTCATATTCTGTTCAGCATGGCTCTCCTTGAGTTTATTCTTTTTTTTTTTTTAAATATATTTTATTGATTCTTCACAGAGAGGAAAGGAGAGAGATAGAGATAGAGAGTTAGAAACATCGATGAGAGAGAAACATCGACCAGCTGCCTCCTGCATATCCCCCACCGGGGAAGTGCGCGCAACCCAGGTACATGCCCTTGACCGGAATCGAACCTGGGACCTTTCAGTCCGCAGGCCGACGCTCTATCCACTGAGCCAAACCGGTTTCGGCGAGTTTATTCTTCTTGCCTGCTTTTTTCTTGTATCCTCTTTCTCTTCTTTGGGGATTAGCATAATCCTGACACATGTTTGATAAGTGAAGGAGTTAGTGCATATAGTCATTAGGGCCTGTTCCTAGTAAACACTTATGAGTGGTTTGCTTAGGAGATCTAGGACAAAATAAAGATGAAAGCTGCTATGGTGGGTGAAGCCAAAAGCATTAACTACATTGTATTCAATGTCAGCTGCTCTTCAGAAACTTTTTTTAAAAGCTTTTCCAAAACCAAGTAAATATCCATCCCCTAAATCATTGTGTGGTTGGTGCTGCTGAGCACTTAATGACTGATTGCCAATTATTTCAGTCTTAAACAGGGTCTAGATTTGTCCTCTGACATGATTTGGGGATGACCTGATTAGGGGAGAGATGAGTGTAACTATTGGATGACAAGCAAGCATCAACAGGTGGGAAATTTATAGACTCTTAGCATAGAAAACTTATAGGAGTCAAATCCCTAATGAAGACTGAGAAAATCTTAAAGTAGTATACTTTCTAATTGTTATGGACCAAACACCTTAATGTTTATAACTAAAAGAATATTTTTAAAAAGAAGAAAGGGAGGGGAAAAGTAAGCATGCTCCTGAGAGAAAGGATGTATAATTTCACAAAGAGCAAATCAACTAGCCTAAGTTAATTTTCTTTCAATGAGTGAAATGCCACATTGATGGTAGTAACAGTAAGTATAATTACAAAATTTGAGCAAGGCCTTTGACCTCAGGTTCTTAAGAGAAAGTTAGGGATGCTTCCATAGTGTAATACATTGCTTACTATTCAACCTTAAGTCTGCTATGATTCCTGTTTTTTGCCATGCTTACACCTAACCAAGTGTGAAACATTGTTATTAAAACTCACTTTCTAGAAAGCTTCAGAAACAAAATTGATATTGACTAGACCAGTGGTCACCAACCTTTTGGACCTCACGGACCACCAGTGGTCTCCAGACCACCGGTTGGCGACTGCTGGATTAGACAATATGAGGAGGTTCCTTGAACCCTAAATTTGTATGTGTTTTCCTTTTTAAGATCAGACTGTGTGGAGATTCTCAAGAAATGCGGGGACCAGAACATAAAATATATAAACAGAAGCAATTATATCAGACTGAAGGAGGTAGTGAGCTGTTGCAATCAGGAATTCTAAGCAGTGAATCAGGGGCCAACATTCTCAGATAACCAGCTCCATATCATTGCTGTCTCCTTGCCATGATTTACTAGGAAGTGGAATTTCCTCAAGCCTGGCATTGGCTTGACTCACCCACTGAATAGGGAGTAACGAATGATGGTTGGAGTTAGCACATGAAAATGGAAGTTTTTTCTCTGCCCAATACTCGTGCTGAGAGCTGGAAGAATGTGTTGGTATCCCGTCGAGGGATCCTGGATCTGAGCTTCCTGGCAGTTAGCACATGAAAATGGAAGTTTTTTCTCTGCCCAATACTCGTGCTGAGAGCTGGAAGAATGTGTTGGTATCCCGTCGAGGGATCCTGGATCTGAGCTTCCTGGCAGTTAGCACATGAAAATGGAAGTTTTTTCTCTGCCCAATACTCGTGCTGAGAGCTGGAAGAATGTGTTGGTATCCCATCGAGGGATCCTGGATCTGAGCTTCCTGGCAGGAGGTGACTGTATGGTGGAAACCAGGGGTAACAAGTAGAACACCTGCACACCAAGGAGGGTGTAGGCTGCCACCAGGGGGCGTTAGTGCCATGAACTGGCCGAAAGAGTGAATTTAGCGCCTGCTTTGTTTTCCTGTCAGATAGGATTAAGTTCAACTGCAAATAACAGAACGACAGATAGAAGTAAAAGAAAGCCCAGAAAGAAAGAGTCCGGGGCTGTTATGATGGGCCCATCATCAGGAATCCAGGTTCCTTTTTCTTTCTCCATCATCTTTAGTGCTTGGTTTCCATCATCAAAATTACTTCCTAGACTTCATCATCACAACATGGCTACTGGAATTCTCGCCACCATATCCTAGTGTAAGGGAAAACCACCCCTAATTGTAAGGGAAACTGGGAAAGGTTATCTTTAGCTGTGGGCCCATTGCTATCCTAAGTAAAATCGGAGTTCTAGTAAAATATCTGCCATATTTTCTCAAGACCACAAACTGTTTCCCTTAGCCTTTGTGACTAGTATAGCAAAAAATGAAAGCATTAGACTAGAATCATAGGCTTCTGTGACTTTGAGCAGACTACATCTTGAGCCTCAGATTCCCTATTTATAAAATGATTGGGCTGGATGAGATAAACTCCAAGAGCCCTTCTACCTCTATTGGACTTAAAGTCTGAGTCTGGCCTAAAATCAAGTAAGCAAAACGAATGTATTCACAACATTCTCTCTCTCTCTCTCTCTCTTTCTCTCCCTCCGTCCCTCCCTCCCTCCCTCTCCTTCTCCCTCTCCTCTGCTCCTTATTGTCTATTTCCTGACCAGATCAGAATATAAACTCTGTTCAGGTGTGTCTGTTTTATTCACTACTATATCTCCAGTACCTAGAACTTTGCTGGGCATCCTATATAATAAAAGGCTAATATGCAAATTGACCAAATAGTGGAACAATCAGTCGCTATGACATGCACTGACCACCAGGAGGCAGACGCTCAATGCAGGAGCTGCCCCCTGGTAGTTAGTGTGCTCCCACAGGGAGCTTACAGCTGGCAAGTGCAGCAGCGGGGATGGGAGCCTCTCCCACCCCCACAGCAGCACTAAGGAGCGGGCCTAAGCTCTCAGTCGGACATTCCCTGAGGGCTCCTAGACTGTGAGAAGACTCAGGCCGGGCT